GAGTTCAATCCCTGGTTCTGAAAAAAAAAAAAAAAAAAGAAAAGAAAAGAAAAAAAGAAAAAGGAAAGAAAGAAATTAAAAAGGAAGAAAAAAAGCATTAACTGTTCCTTTCATTAGAAACATCACATAACTTCAAGTTATACTACACAGCTAAAATCATAAAAACAAGATGGCAGAAACCAAAAACAGACTTATGGATCAGTGGAACAGAACAGAGGACACAGCAACAACTCCAGGCATTCTCAGCTCTACATTTTCTTTGAAAAAGCTAACCCTAAGGATAAAACTTTTGCTGGAGGAAAGACAATCTCTTTAACAAATGGTTCTGGGAAAACTGGCTATCCTCATATCAAAGATTGAACCTAGACCATCTTTCATCATGCACTAAACTAAAATCAAAATGAATCAGAGATCTACATATTGAAACAAATAATCTGCTGGAATAAAAAACAGGTAAAGCTCTTGAAGACACAGCCATAGGCAAAGACTTTCTGAATAGAACCTCAGTTGTGCAGTATAAGAAATAATACCAAAAATCAACAAACGGGATCACTACAAATTAAAAAGTTGCTGCACAACAAAGGAAACCACCTACAGAGACAACCTACAGAGGGGTCAAAAATTTTGCAAGCTATTCCTCACAGGACTAATATCAAGAATTAGTCCTGATACGAGTTTATAAAATTAATAGAATCTAATGCCAGAAAAAAAAATTAAAAAGGGTGGAGGAAAAGGGGAATAAAGAATTGAGATGTATTATGCACATGGCCACCAATTCCCACGATCAATATAATCATTATGTACTGTAAACATATACTAATGAAATAAAAATGTTTTAAAAGTCTGCTGGCTTCACAAGAACTACCCAATACCCACCCTACCTCACTTCTTGGGCAGTGGGGTTCTACAAAGCACCAAGAATTATCCAGTTTTCAGGATATTATGCTGAACACTGGATAGTAAGGGAGAATCTGTACTACTCTGGCATCTATTTAGTAGTGAGCAGAGCCTCTTTTCACTCAACCAGATTTATACAATAGCCTGCTACCTACTCACAGCTAGGAGGAGACCCAGGGATCTGGCACCCTCTATCCTCACTCCAGCCTTTTGTTGTTGTCACTAGGATTATTTAGGATCAAATTCTGGGCCTCTTGTGTACTATACAAGCACTCTACCACTGTGTCCCACCTACCCCCATTCTCCCATTCTTCCTCCCCCTCCTCCTTTTTTCAGTACTGGGAATTAGATCCAGGGCTTTCACATTGAACTACATCCCAGATTTTTTCTTCTTCTTCTTCTTCTTCTTC